TCACAGCTAGTAGACTTAAGGGCTGTTTTGACAGCGTTTTTACCTCCCTCCCCTGACCATGATCTCCAACAGCCTCACCACCCCCGCCCTCCTACCTTCCCTCCCTCGCCCGCTCAGCACCTTCCTCAACTCCTCGAGCCGGGAGACGGTTACGAGTCTCTTTTTTACTTTGCCGGGCACCTGGGGGTGGCACAGGGCGCACCAGAGGGAGGCCAGCCATATCTCCAGGGTGCGGGGCTCGTCCTGGGGGAGGGACTTGAAGATGGCTTTCAAGATCCGGTCCGTGCTCAGGAGCCGTGTGCCCAGCCCGGGGTCTCGGCTTCGAAGAAAGGCGCTGGCGAAGGCAACGGCCACGGGGCGGGACCGAGGGGAGAGGGGGGAGAAGAGGTGGAGGACGGGCTTGGAGGTGAGGGCATGCCGGCCCAATATGTCCCAGCCGTTACTGCTCTTGCAACGGACGAGGGCGGTCAGCAAGCGTAAGGTGGCCGTAGCCAGGTGTTGGTGGTTCGAGATGAGCTGAGCATGGAGCTCCGTGCCTCGCTCACGTAGAAGCTGCCGGGAAAGGAGGGAGGCGAGGGCGGAAGTTGAAGGGGACAGGAGGGTCTTCGCGTCGGCCGTTCGCAGAATTTTCGACGGGGGAAAGGACCGTCGGCGCAGGCATCGGAGGAGGACGGCCAGGAGGAAGGTGTGTTTCTCCGCCACGCGGCGGGAGGACTGGCGCAGGGGAAGGTCCCACAGGTGGTGGGAGAGCTCGATGGCTTTGGGTGAGGAAAGCAGGTAGGCGGAGAGGAGGCCCGTGAGGGGGCGAAAAGGTGGTGAGGGAGGTTCTGTGCTGTCCGTGGAGCCAGGCGGTACAGACACCTGCTTCCCCTCCTCTCCCTCCTTGTCCTCCATGTCGCCTGTCGGCGTCTTTTTCCGGAGCCAACCCTCCTCCCCTTCGTCATCTGCTTTCTTCCCCTCCTGGTCTTTCCCTTCCGCCTCCTCCTCCTCATCCTCTCCTTCCTCCTCCTCTTCTGTTAGAGTGTCATCATCATCATCATCATCATCCTCCTCCTCCT